TGTGTGTGTGTGTGGGCGCGTGCGTGCGTGCGTGCGGGCGTGCGTGTGGGTGCGTGTGCGTGCGTGTGCGTGTGTGCGTGTGCGTATGCGTGTGCGCGCGCGCGTGTGTGTGTGTGTGTGTGTGTGTGTGTGTTCTATTAATATCCATGATATTTTTATGAATGTTGTTACCTCCGCAACGGAGGTCATGTAATCGGTCTCGTGTGTGTGTGTTCGTGTGTGTGTTCGTGTGTGTGTTCGTGTGTGTGTGTGTGTGTGTGTGTAGCCAGTCCGCGCGGCGCGATTGATAGCGCGTTGAGTCAGCGAGCGGGCGGCGCGATCGATAGCGCGTCGAGTCAGTGAGCGGCGAGTCAGCAGCAGGCGAGTAAGTCAGCAGCAACCACCAGCGAGCGGCGAGTCAGCAGCCGCCACTAACGAGCGGCGAGTCAGCAGCAGGCGAGTCAGTCAGCAGCAGCCAGCAGCGTGCGGCGAGCCAGGTCGTAATACATACATGTTACATGCTGGCGGAGATATGCACTCTCCGTGAGTGCCCTCTATCTAGTTACCTATGTTATTGCCTCACCTAAGAAAATTTTTGGGTATTATTAAATTTAGCCCACAGAGATCAGCTGTAGTTTATTTAATTCGCAATTTTGTTCACAGTTTCTCTATAGATGATCCCGATTTTACTAAGATGATATCGTCCGCGAATGAACTGAACGACATTGTAGGCGGTGGCTTTGCACCAGACTATATCAGCGCTCTGAAATACTTCCCGCGGACCACCTCACAGAAACGCTTTATGGAACTGTGTGATGAGCTTATAAAGCGAGGGCGGGAAGAATATCAGCATCACAAAGACACGTTCACACGCAGTAAGCTGTCTGGACATTTGCTATGTTTGCAATCAAGCGCAGGAACATTTCTATTAGAGATGACGGGGAGAGTATCAGCATCACAAACATATCACGTTCACACGCAGTAAGCTATTCGGATGTTTGCTACGTTCAGAATAAAGCGCAGAAACATTTCTAGTGATGCCAGTAAATCACGATTCAGTGTCTATTATATATAAATAGGTGCGCTCACAGGCGGTATTCGTGTGGAATCACTCATGTCTAATGAATTTCTTAATTTTCTTAGATGACATTCGAGACCTGTGTGATGACCTAATTCTTGCGCACCAGGATATGCCGGACGAAGAACGTGATATCCTTACTGAAACCCATATTGTGCAGACATTACTGGACATATTTGGAGGTACGTAAGAGTAACACGAACCTACTTTACGAAAACCCGAGTATACTCTAATGGTCTACATCTCATTTTACAGAACAATAATCTGGTTATTAATTCACCTATACTCATCACTTCCTTATTCTAATTAAATGGCAAACAACAATGAAAACTTGCATTAATTATATGTATTTCTAAAAGAAACCAAGCGTAACAGTACCTTAAAATAAACATGAAAAAATACTGAACCCCGTTAGATTTCCTTGATTCGGGTCTTAATTAACCTGTCATTTGGTAAACCAAATGTAAATGAGCTATCGATATTAATCATAAATCACATAAAACCGAGATTCCATACTAAAAATTACATTATTGCTTCCAATTATGGAATTTTACCGTAAATACATATTTTACATACTAGATTTGTTTTGTCGCGATGAAATTCGGTGACTACATTAATTTTATACGTTTCATCACTAAGCTGGGACGGATACAACATCAATGACATTACTGTGGACCATAAAGTTCATGATGGCCTACACAGAGATTCAGAAAAAGGGGCAAGAGGAAATCGACAATGTCATTGGTATGTCTAGTTTGAACTCTATTGATGATGATTTTATATCGGAGAAGACAAATATCAATTTATAGACATGAGCGATCATTTTTATTGATAGCCTAAGGTATTATTTTAGATTACTTTTTGTGATTAAGATGTGAGCAATGCATTTTAAAATCGTGCGATAAGCATTTATCAGGTCATTGAACGCTGATGCTATACTTGTAGGTCAAGATCGTCTAGTTAACTTTCACGACAAACAAAATCTGCCATACTGCGACGCCATCCTGCATGAGGTCATGCGACATCGACTACCTGCCCCCATTGCCCTACCTCACTGCGCGACCATAGATACGACAGTTGGTAAGCAATTTATTCTATATAATTACTAAGGTAACCGGTGTAAATGGTTGCATTTCTGTCAGCCCAAGCTATCTGATAGATGATAAACACGTTATGCAGCTATTTTGTAAATAAGTTAGCCGTTTGCACGTTTTGCCGTTTTTAATTTCCTTTTCACGAAATAACGTTGGCAGTGTTGTCAAATTTTGTCGCTACTGTGACAACCTATATAATACGTGAATTGCGGAAACATTAATAATCAAAACGTGGTTTAATCTTTTGTAAGTGGCGTATTTCTTTTGGAGTCACGCATATTTTGTGGACTACCAAAGTAGCTAGCATCGATGAAGGTGTTAGAATTCGTCAGTTACAATTATATAATTCGTCAATTACAATTATCATGCACATATAGGTGGTTATGACGTCCCAAAAGACACGATGGTGATGTTCAACCTGTACGGACTCCATCACGATCCAGCATACTGGACTGAACCTGAGAGGTTTGATCCAACACGGTTTCTTGACGAGCATGGCTCCATCAGGCCCAAGATGCCTAGCTTCCTCCCGTTCTCTGCCGGGAGACGTGTTTGCGTTGGAGAGTCCATTGCTAAGATAGATCTGTTTGTGCTCTTCGCATGTTTCCTACAGCGATACAGCTGGAATGAACCACCAGGGGAAGTTACTGACGTGGAACCGAAGATTTCTGCAAGCGGAATGGACATCAAACCATTTAGAGTTGTTATAAAGAACAGGCTTTAAATGTGCATGTCGCAATCTAGCTCTAGTACTATAGCCCGCGGATTGCTGCCTGCGGCAGCGATCCGCGGGCTATAGTACTAGAGCTAGTCGCAATCTATGTGCAAGAAACAACTATTTCGTTATAAATTTAATAAACATGCAATAACTCTTCTGTTAAACAAGCTACTTCATGGATGGCAAAATGAATGCATGCCATGAGTATAGCGTTATCGTGATGACAAGTTATTTTCATTTTTATAAATTGGATTAAGTTCAACTTCGAGATTACTGTAGGCCCTATACGCCATATTGTTCGCGTACATGCATTTTTGCGAATTCAGACTTGACGGACAATTTCGCGGGTGGTTAATTTCGCCGTCGGTCAATTATGAATTATTCGCTATTATTCGGTATGAATTATTCGCGTGTTGTTATTTTCGCGGTCGGGAACTATTCGATGTAACAGATCTACGGTTATTATTATAGATGAAAATGAGTTAGTAGACTAATTTAAAGGGAGAGTTTACTCTAGGTTCTAGGGTTATTTTCAGCTAATTTAGGTTATAATTACGCTCTCGCCCTCCATAAAAACGTTGTTGCATAGTTCAATGACATTAGAATATTATTTAAAAAATGGTTTTAAAACTACACGCACTATCACGTTTGATTACAACGACGGTTGAGCAGCACTCAAAGCGCACGATACTGATATAAGTTGCCCGCAAAACACTTTCCAGCCAAGGGGCTACCAGACGTTCAGTGGGTTTCTTATTAATTAATTTAAAAGCAAAAGGATTGCTTAATATATTATGATAACGGACATATTAGTTTTCAGTAATAATATGGATGATAAAGTTGCCCTAACAAATGAATAGTTCGTTTCGGCTTAAATAGCATTTAGCTATAAATATAATATTTAACTTTTGCTGATTAGCCCTCGGTCTGCTAACCATGCCCCCCAAAATAATTTGTGATCAACTACGCAATTTTTCGGGGTGGCAGCATCCGGGTCCGCCGGTTGTCATGGCGCCTGCTTCAAATTGTCGCCTGCCATTGATGTGTAAAATAGTTATTAACAATTAAGATTTATCGGTATCTGGTAACAAAATACGTCTAGTGCGGTATAGGACGATTATGTTTATACAGTAAGGTCGAGTTGTATTGCATGTAAAAGTCCTAGAGCGCGCTCACTGCTTCCTTTAACAACGTTAATTTTACCCACCACAAACTTACGTTAATTAAAGCCGCAACAGTAGCTTCTAGCGTTCTAGGGCTTAATTTTCAGCTAATTTAGGTTATAATTGCGCCTACATAAAAATGTTTCATGTTCAATCACCTTGAGAAATATTTTTAAAATAATGTTTTACAAACATAAACGCACTACAGTTTGATTACACGACGGGTCGGCGCCACTCTAAGCGCCACGTTCTGAGAAGCTTGCGCCAAAGACCACTTTCCAGCAAAGGTGCTACAGACCGAGGGTATTTCTTATTTTTATTCATTAAAATAGCCACTAGCGATGATGTATATTATCCTTATAAACCGACATTTGTTTCTAGTGTATATATATGGATTAAATTTGCCCTAAAATGGAATATTCGCCTTCGGTATTAAATACCATTTACGGATATATAATATTAATTGCCCACTTTCGTGATTATGCCCTCTGGTTCATTATACCTGCAAAATAAAAATGCAACAATACGCAACTTTTTCTAGAGGCTGCAGCACGTCGTCTGCGGGTGTTTTCATGTCGCGTTTCAAAATTTCGTTAGCTATTTGATGTGTAATATAATTAACATTAAGTATCTGGTGCAAATACATGTGTAGTTATAGAAGATTTGCTTATACTCAGTAAATGAATCCCTCCNTATACGCACGGCGTTTGCGAGATATAATAGTTAGTATCCTTTCCTATCACCCATAGAAATGCAACTCAACTGATTTCTAGACATGTGTCTATATTCCTTACTTAGCTATAATCTCTGTAAATTTTCAGTTTGTTGAAGCACGACTAGTCTAATTATTTAGTAATTATATGCGAACGGTATCGCGCATAGGCGCCTATTGCGT